AAACGATATCTTCAAACACCTGGATTACTTGAACTTTTATTCAAAAGTAAACCTACCAGATCGTTTATAAGTGAAGCTGATGAAAGAAACTATAAAGAGATTCTGATTGCTACTAATGCACACAAAAAGAAGTATAGTTCCTCTTAATCTTTACGCACGGATAAGAGTTACAAGTATTTAAATTTTATATCTCAATTCTTCCCTCGAACACCTACCAAACAGCCATCTGTAAGCAGTAGTTCATTACCTAAATTTATGATTACAAACAGAAATTTTCAACGAGAATATATCTATTGGGATAATCCGAATGAGTTGGTTGACCGTTTTAGACTATTAATGGCTTCTCAAGATGCTGGAAATCCTAGTCACAATAATGAAATCATGTCTATCATTGAGGAACTACGTGAAGCTAAAATTCTATATTAAGATGTGTTTTAGCAAATATCATTCATTTCAACAATGAGCACGTGTTCGGACATCCTCTCAATCAAAGAGGAACAGCAAGACGAGGGCCTCCTGGAGTTGGTTTTAAACTCAATTCTCAAGGTAACTTTGACGTTGAAGGAAGAAAACTCTGTAATCTTGCTAACGCTGAAGAAGAAAACGACGCTGTCAATTTAAAACTTGTACGACATATGATAAAACACAAAGTGCGTTTATTGTATGAAGCTAGTGCCTCACTTAGATCAGAGGTGGACAATAACAACTTATTTCTAAAAGTTATTGAAGACTCTATTACAGAAAAAATAAAAAATTTTGAAAAAGATATAAATCAAGATTTATCTTATCGAACAGCTGAAATTATTAGTGAATTGGATACTCGCTTAAGTGCTCTCGAGAATGAACAACAAAAAATTAACGGTAGTGAATGAACTTCATACCCAGGCTAGAAAAAATTATCCTCGACGGCGAGTTGAAATGCGTGATATTGATGAGACATGGCAAGCAGATTTAGTAGAAATGATACCTTATTCAAAAATAAATAAAGGTTTCAAGTATTTACTAACAGTTATAGACATATTTTCGAAATATGCTTGGGCTGTTCCAGTAAAAAGTAAAAATGGAAAAGATGTTTCTCATGCAATGCAATCTATATTTGGTAAAAAACGCATACCAAAAAACTTGCATAGTGACAAAGGAAAAGAATTCTATAACTCACAATTTGAAGCATTAATGAAAAAGCATAAAATAAATTTTTATTCAACATACAGTAATATGAAAGCTTCCATTGTTGAACGGTTTAATCGAACACTAAAAAGAAAAATGTGGATGCAATTTAGTTTACGAGGAAATTACAAGTGGTATGATATATTGCCTACTCTTATTTCCAACTATAATGATACAAAACATAGAACAATTGGAATGAAGCCTAAAGATGTTACTTCAGAAGACGTTGAAATTTTAAAAGAAAGGATCTCTAAACTGAGAAAAATTCCTTTAAGACGATCAAAGTATAAAATTGGTGACAAAGTTCGAGTAAGCAAATATAAAAACGTTTTCGAGAAAGGATATACACCCAATTGGACAACAGAAATATTCACCATGGATCAAGTTATATCAACTCAACCAGTGACTTACAAGCTCAAGGATTACCAGGATCAACCCATCAGCGGAGGATTTTATGAAGAGGAACTTCTTAAAGTAAAATATTCAGATATTTATCTTGTGGAAAAAATTCTCAAGACACGTGGAAACAAAGTTCTTGTAAAATGGCTTGGCTTTGATAATTCTCACAATACGTGGGAAGATAAAGCAAATGTATAATCTATTATTCGCAAATCGTCCCCAGCAACTTAACGCAAATGTCAATCAACCAGCAAACCAATCAAAGATTAATGTTAGCGTAGAACCTCTCTATAAATCAAAACTGCTTCCAACAACAGACCTTTACAGTGCCAGTGCCAAATTTAATTAACATTAAATCAATAATGAATCAACAATGAATCAATAATGAATCAATAATGAATCAATAATGAATCAATAATGAATCAACAATGAATCATTAATGAATCAACAATGAATCAACAATGAATCAATAATGAATCAATAATGAATCATTAATGAATCAATAATCAATCAATAATAAATCAACAATGAATCAATAATGATTCATTAATGAATCAATAATGAATCAATAATAAATCAACAATGAATCATTATTAAATCAGTTGGCATTGGCATTGTGAAGGTCTGTTGTTGGAAGTAATTTTGATTTATAAAGAGATTCTACGCTAACATTAATCTTTGATTGCTTTGCTGGTTGATTGGCATTTGCGTTAAGTTACTGAGGGCGATTTGCACATTTAAATTATATTACATTAATATAAGTTATAATCATATGTTATTATGTATGCATTATTCCTGAACTGCCCCAAAAATAAAAAAAAGTTCTTGGATTTCCTTTATACTTTGGAAATATGTTACCCTAGTAGGTACAAGTTACTACACCAATTTACAGGTCCAACCCCCCACCCCAATCAAAAGGGTGGGGGGTTGAAATTTCAGCTTCAACTCCAACATGCATTCTTTAAACATTTGTAGTTTCTACTTAAATTATTCAATTAAAAAAGTAAGTAGTGTTTAAGAAAGGCTTTTTTGTGTACTTTTAAAATATTTTATTTATATAATAAAAAAAAATTTTTTTGCAAAAATTTTTTAAAATAAATAGTTTTTTGCAATTTTGTGCAAGTTCGGTAGTTTTTATTTTCTTTTTAATAATCTCAAATGAAAGCTTGGGAATTCCCCTAAAAGAAGATGTAAGTCTGAAAATGGGCCGAAACAATTTGCCAAAGATATAGTGTAATAAGTAAAATTTGTCCGTCCGCTCGCGCACTCCAGCGCGATGAACAGTGGGATTTTTTTTCAACTTACTATTGAAAATTGTCTAGAAACTACAAATTTTATCGGATGTTGATGTTCTTGATTTAAAATTACTAAGAGATCCATCAAAGTCGATTTTTGAATTTTTAATTGTTTATTTTTTTCTTGTTACTCAAAAATTTGACAAATTACAATATTTCTAGAAAAAATCATGTTAGTTTTTTTATTTTTCCATTACACATGATCAAAATCAATTTAAATTAGTCTAGTATGACTACCGGACAATTAATAAAGCATAATACAATTTATTTAAATTGTTGCAAACAATGTTAATTAACAAATAGATTACTTCGGACCTTCTTCGTAAGAAAAATTGGTTTTTTTGCAGACAAGTTTAAATTTATGTCTAATTTAGTAAAAAACTATTTTACAGTTAAAAATTATCATTAATATTAACAATTATATAAACAATAATCAACTTCCTTTTGTATTTGTAAACATTTTCGTCATTTTTTAAACTTTAAATATTTATATCATATGTACATTCTTTCAAAAACTTAAAAAATATATTAGCTTAAACAATTACATTTGTTATAATCAAACTTTTCATTTTTAAACAAATAAGTAGCTTTTTTCATCAAACAAAATTTTTTCCTTTTTTTATATTTACTATCATAAAAAAGAACTTTTTAATGAAATGGGAATACTATAAATTATTCATTTAATTCTAACGAACATTATAAGTTAAGAAATATTTATATTTTTAATGAAGTAAACCATTATTCAGTTAAAACAGTTTACATTTAAATGCATATAAATAAATATATTTTTTCTGTGAAAAAAGAACAAAGTTAAATATTTTTTAACTTATAATGTATATTAAAATTAAATGAATAATTTATAGTATTCCCATTTCATTAAGGAGTTCTTTTTTATGATAGTAAATATAAAAAAGGAAAAAATTTTGTTTAATAAAAAAAGCTAATTATTTGTTTAAAAATGAAAAATTTGTTTATAAAAAATGTAATTGTTTAATCAAATAAATTTTTTAAGTTTTTGAAAGAATGTACATATGATATAAATATTTAAAGTTTGAAAAATGACGAAAATGTTTACAAATACAAAAGGAAGTTGATTATTGTTTATATAATTGTTAATATTAATGATAATTTTTAACTGTAAAATAGTTTTTTACTAAATTAGACATAAATTTAAACTTGTCTGCAAAAAAACCAATTTTTCTTATGAAGAAGGTCCGAAGTAATCTATTTGTTAATTAACATTGTTTGCAACAATTTAAATAAATTGTATTATGCTTTATTAATTGTCCGGTGGTCATACTAGACTAATTTAAATTGATTTCGATCATGTGTAATGGAAAAATAAAAAAACTAACATGATTTTTTCTAAAAATATTGTAATTTGTCAAATTTTTGAGTAACAAGAAAAAAATAAACAATTCAAAATTCAAAAATCGACTTTGATGGATCTCTTAGTAATTTTAAATCAAGAACATCAACATCCGATAAAATTTGTAGTTTCTAGACAATTTTCAATAGTAAGTTGAAAAAAAATCCCACTGTTCATCGCGCTGGAGTGCGCGAGCGGACGGACAAATTTTACTTATTACACTATATCTTTGGAAAATTGTTTCGGCCCATTTTCAGACTTACATCTTCTTTTAGGGGAATTCCCAAGCTTTCATTTGAGATTATTAAAAAGAAAATAAAAACTACCGAACTTGCACAAAATTGCAAAAAACTATTTATTTTAAAAAATTTTTGCAAAAAAATTTTTTTTTATTATATAAATAAAATATTTTAAAAGTACACAAAAAAGCCTTTCTAAAACACTACTTACTTTTTTTAATTGAATAATTTAAGTAGAAACTACAAATGTTTAAAGAATGCATGTTGGAGTTGAAGCTGAAATTTCAACCCCCCACCCTTTTGATTGGGGTGGGGGGTTGGACCTGTAAATTGGTGTAGTAACTTGTACCTACTAGGGTAACATATTTCCAAAGTATAAAGGAAATTCAAGAACTTTTTTTTATTTTTGGGGCAGTTCAGGAATAATGCCTCATATGAAAGGATTTTTTAAATAAAAACACATGGAAATTGTATATAATTGCATTATTTATTAACAAACCTTTTATTTTTTTACAATCATATTTTACAAAATCATTCGTCGATTTTAGGGATCGCATTATGTCCCCACGGTAGAGTGTCGGTACTCCCCGGTAACAAATACCGTTTGTCGTCTTGCGGACTTAAAGCTACTTTTACCTGTTTTACAGTCTCAAGGTTATGTAGTCGTGATCTAATATTATACTGTGTTCGAGTTTGAATGTCGAAATTTTGCAGACATTTTACATAATCATCAAAGTGAATCGATTTTTTCACAACGCCGGATTTAATGCCTTTGGCTTTTTTAATAATGTCTTCACCTTCAACCCGTACACTGTACATCTTACTCCGCAAGTCAACAAATTCGGTAACGATCTTGCCGTTACATTCGTCTTTTATTAGACCGAGAATCTTTTTGTTGGCTTGCGGAATGCCGTACACGTTGTTTGCGGGATAGTCTGACGTATCGAACTTTTGGATGTCATTTTTCATGTCATTGTAGACATCTTTACATTTAATTTCGTAGATTAGACTGTCTGTATCGGTATACATCAGTTTACAATTGTCGCCGTATTTTTTTAACATATACCCGTAGTGAAAATCGTAGATTAACGTCTTGGATACATCAAGCACACTTAACCCCACATAGATTGGTTTGTTGAGTAGTACCTCGGTTTTACGCAGTTTAATGGCAACCAGATTTTCATCGAAAATCGCTCGACTACGGAAATTCGGGCGAGAGATTAGGGCTTCAGCTCCATAGCGGCCAAACGATTGGGTGACAAGCTTAATGTCGACATGTTTACGGACATTTTCCATTGTTTTGCCGTACACAGCGTTGTTCATGAGCTTGAACAAATTTTTCTCGAACTCAATTTTGGCGTTGGTTCGCATCATCGTATTATAGTCGATGTATGGTTTAATCCATGTTGATTGCTTAAACTGTAAGACTCGGTGGATTTTAACAAGTTTAATACCATTAGCAACAACTTGTTTGAGAGTTCGATAGTGGATCACATATTTTTCTTTGGGTAGGAGAGTTCTAAGTAATTTCTCCTGTTTCGAGAGGGGGGGTTTCGCATTTTCTGCACAAAATGGCATGTCTTTGTGGGTATCGTGAATACTTTCAGAATACTCCAAGTCAACTTCGAGTATGTATCCAACAGGTGAATCGTCGGATACATTAAAATTGAAAGAGTTGTGGACATTTTCAACCCATTTGAAGCCGCCATAAGGAAGCGCTTGAGCCATTGCCCAGCCATATAAATTGTTGGCGTCAAAGTACATGATGTAGCTAGTATCTTTGCTATCATCGAAATTTTCCATATATCTATTATTCGCTATAGTATATCGGTTGCAACATTGACTTATGCCACCTCTAATACCGGACTCAACAAACATAATCATATCGATATCGGTTATTAGTTGCAATCCTATTTTCGTGTACTTGAGCATAGCATCCCAAGTTAAACCGGGGGTCGTATAATAGTGAGCAGGATCTAACCCGTACGCTTTGACACATTCTTTTCGATAATTTTCAAAGACATCCGCAAGTAACAATACATCTGTTTTCATGTATAAATGTACATAGTCGTAGAGATTTTTACAGTCAAACTCGGTCCATACATTTAGCGCATGCGCATACTCATCATCAGAAATACCAGCGTCATACAGAGTACTATAAAATTTCTCTATCGGGGGTAATTCGGTTTCATCGAGCTTACTTTTTGAGTCAAAGTACTCATAGGGGAAAACACCCTTACGCGTCAATAATTTAATTTTATCCGGATCTGTCACCGTACTGGCAAAAACGGAGTTGACGATTTTGTACTCGTCTAGGTACGATGCGAGTTTCTCTAGGGATGCTGCCATGAATCGCAATGAGTCAATGAATCAAAATTTGACCTCACTCCCCTTGACATGTTTAGTAAAAGAGATATACTTCTCTTTGTTAATGGGGAGGAGGTCAATTTTCCCTTCAAAGCTCGTAGAAATCGCGTGTATTATAAAATGGGCGTCATAGCCACTTAGGTTGTGGAACACCACGGGAATTGTCTGACGGGAAATGATCACGGGAATTGTATCTTGGTAGTTTAGATTGTATGATTCATGGGCAGCACCCCTATATTTGCCAGTAAGGTGACAGTGATCGCGGACTTTCTTTTCACTTGCCGGTATTTTCTCATTACAAATGTGACATATTGTCGCTCGCTTGAAGTCACTGATTTCTTGAGGAGTTAAGGCATTCATTGGTATCGGATTTTTAAATACATTATCAATTTTTTCAGATAATTGCCTCAATTCCTCAGTAAACCATTTAGCAGGGTCAGATTCATTTTTCGGGCACGGTACATATTTACATAACGATTCATCGTAGCTACATTTTATGTAATAGCCAATACGCAATAACTTATGTCGCTGGAATACTTCAGTCTTACTTAAATTGTCTACATCTTCATCGGCGGGAAGAAGTAGACTTTCACAGTCCGCGTAAATTACATACGGTACTCTCTCATTATTCTTATAATTTTTAAATGTGATTAAACTTTTATCAATCGTCGGTAATTTTATTTTACACTCATTCACTTTTTTACAATTTTCAATGTGTGCGTTTAATCTATCTACAGATGAAAAGTAGTGTAAGCATCGGTCACAGATGTATTTTTTATTTCTATGTTTAGACAACTGCTTAAACACTAGTCGAGATAAATCTTTTATTCACACATAATGGAAGTTTATAAAATTATCGTCGTCATACAATACAGTATCATCATCACTTTCATCCGCATACATGTCGGCAACATACAAGAGATTTACATGCTTATCTTTTTTCAGAAGTAAGGTGAAGAGGGTGTACAGAAAAGTCACCATACCTTTTTGTAAGGCCGTAGACATTAATCGAAACGTCATTAATTTTTTCAAATTTTAGAACATTTTTAAGTGTTACTGGGAATTCAATACCCTCAAAATTTAACTCATCTTTAAATTCTTTATAGTTGGAAACTCGATCACTTCTTACTACATTTGGGTGTAAGGCTGAGAGTACAGCCCATTTGAAACACTCATTATCTTCATTTTGCACGTTGATACATGCGTGTTTATTTTTAATTTGTGAGGGTAGATCAATGTATGAGCTCGCGCGCATTGGATTATACTTATTTACATTTACTTCAAGCCTTATAATTGATTGAAGATTCCAATTTGAACCTTTGGCGTAAAACTCTTCAACGCTATGTAGAATCGGTTGCTTAATGTACTGCTCAAACCAATCATCTAAAAGGGTTGTAGGGAAGATGTTGTTGGCCTTGGTTCCAAAAGGAATCGGCTTTACAACTTCTTCGTCATTCTCCACCCTCTTGAAGTTTGCGATGAGTACGCCGTACACGACGATGGGTCCATTCTTATTTAAAGCACCTCTAATATGGTCTTGAAACAGTGTGGACCCATCGTCTAAAAACGCGCTTATATCAATGTGTACAAGATTTAGAATCACATTAGTGTACAGTCTACACGCAAACGCACTCTCACATTCTTCCCAGCGAACACGTTTATTGATATCTGGGTCACCGATTCCAGCGCCATCTACAATATGGGACTCAAATAATGCGCGAAGTCTAATGATGGATTGTAGAATGTTCACACATCTTTTCTTTTGATGTGTAAAGTACATCGACTTGAGAATGCTCGATAACAAGTTTTCATGTTGTGAGCATTCTACAACCCATCGTTCAATGAAAGAGCGTCTCTCATTTACGTTACTCAAATAAGGTATCAACTCAAGGGCTTCTTTAATGAGAGTAACAGTGATGTCACTCTCGTCGAGAATAGTACCGTAATTCGGATACTTACGTGGTGGTTCATCGGTGGTCGTCGCCTTCCGCTTCATCTCTGCACCTGAAATTAAAAGAAACACACTTACAAGCTAACACACTTAAAACTAAACAGAACACACTTACAAGCTAACAAAAGAACAAAAGAACGAACTTACAAACTAAAATACTTATACTAAGCAAAACGAACTTACAAACTAAAGAACTTAACCTAAAAATCAATAGAAAGTAAATGTAATAAACACAGTAAATATAACAATAAATGTAACAAAAAAGACAGTAAATATAACAAAAAAAGACAGTTAATAATGGCAATGGGAATCTGCTGCTGCTGTTGGAACCGCTGAACCTGTGGACAGAACAGCTACTGACTAAACTCGCCAAAATCCCTGAATATATACCCCGAAATCCCCACTCCTACCTTTCACGCATGCGCACTAGACCATTTACCCCCACCTATTCACGCATGCGCAATACTCTTACTCTAACGCAGTCGTAACAATTTCTATACAGGATCCGCAAAATAAATATACTAATTTACAAAAAAATAAAAATTTAATGATTTTTAAAAATAAAATTTTAATTTAAAATTACGCGCCGCCGTCGATGGCATCGACGCTGACCGTGAGCGGGCGGTGGCTGCGCCTCTGGTGGAGGTCCCGCCGGCTCTCTCTCCTCTACCCTGGGCTCGGGAGACTGCGCCCTGGGTATCGGTGACCTACACCGTGGTGAACTTCCGGGCGGGGTTGTAGGCAGCCATTCCACCGGTGTAGGCGTCCTGGGTGGAGTCCCCAACTGAATGAAGGGTGGGGGAGACTCCGGTTCGATCTTGGGTTGAGGTGTCGGTGACCTGGGCAGTGGTGTCGTCGGCCTCTCCACCAGCATCCACGGCGGTGAAAATGGACGCCACTCGAGTGCCATCTGATGCAGAGGTGACTGCGGTGGAGATCCTGGTGGTGTTGTCGGGAATGGCACCTCATTCCCTTCATTCTGTAACTAGTGAATTTATATTATATTATATTATATTATATTATATTATATTATATTATATTATATTATATTATATTATATTATATTATATTATATTATATTATATTATATTATATTATATTATATTATATTATATTATATTATATTATATTATATTATATTATATTATATTATATTATATTATATTATATTATATTATATTATATTATACTCACATTGTACTCGGACACCATCCTCACGAGGCAGTGGTAGCACCGGCAGCTCTCCATCGTGGATCGCACTATTCCTCTCCGCGATCTGGAATGAGCTCTCTACTGTGTGCTAGTCACCCTCGTAGGTCTCTCTCCCCACCAAGCGGTTCCCCCACAATGCGCGCTCACCACTCTGCTGCGTGTGGCGGTTGACTTGAACTACTGTGAGCTCACCGCCGGCAACGAGCTCACCGCTGATAACAAGCTCACCGCCGGTAACGCGCAAAATTCAATTTGAATTCAAAACTCTTATTGTAGTTTTAAGTAATAATTTCACTTACCTTAATTATAAATTGTTTATAATTAATAAAATGATGATAATAGTAATAATTAATAAACAAAAAAAATTAACTACACTTACCTTAATTAAATAAATAGTTTTTAAATAAATATTAATAATAAACAAATATTTACAATTAATATTTTTTAAGCAATAATTTTTTATATAATAAACAAACATTTAAAATTAATATTTTTAAATATTTTTTATATATAATAAACAAATGTTTACAATTAATATTTTTTAAACAATAATTTTTTCACTAATATTAAAAATTTAATGGCGCCATCTATCGGCGGCAGCCGGAACTAAAAAAAATCGGTCGGTAAAACAGAGAACCCCTTCTAAGCCACTTTAAAGTTTAAAAATAAATTTTTAAATTTCCCGCCAAAGGGGTTTGGAATTCGCTAGTGGCGCCATCTAGCAGTGGCAGCCGGAACTAACTCGGTCGGTAAGGTAGAACACCCCCCACCAACCACTGATAATGTAGGAATCTACATTACCGACATGTCCCAGTATCCTCATAGCTATACTACTAATCTACACCATATAGTGTTTTATATATTTTCTAGAATCGTTTTTAGTACAGAAAAATTGTTCCGAATTTTTTGAATTTTTTTGGTCCAAGTTTGACGGCCTGCATTTTCTAACAAAAAAATACACGTTAATGCCTTTAAGTAATTCTTATATATATATATATATATATATATATATTTATTGAATGTTAAAGTAGGATTTAGAAATTTAATTTTAATTTTTAAAACTTTAACTTACGTGTCCTTCGGACAAAAGAAATTGTAAAGGTAGTGGATTCCCCCTCTACTTAGTTATTGTTTCAACTAAGAGGTTGAGAACCCTACTCTTGTGTGAAATGAGAAGATAGGAAAATTGTTAGGATGTTTGAATTAAACCACAAAATGAAGATAATAACAATTAAATGTATATATTTTACCCAAAGTCCCTATTACAGATAAATCTAATTTTATGTGTAAGAAGAGTAAGTGTATCTGTGTGAATGGAATATTAGTGTGTGTTGTGACACGTAAGATCTTTACTCACTACTCGGTGATTCTTCCTTGGTAATACGAATCCAATGAATGCGTCTTGTCTTTACACCTGCTTCACGATGTTTTTCCGAAAAATTCAGGAAATACCAAATCTAGGTTCACTAGACTGATATTTCGCTGGGAACTTTAATATTCTTTTTAAGTTGCACAAAGTTTAAGATCTGAACCTCGTAAATAAAGGTTGTCTTCTAATATATATTTGAAATTAATGTTATTTATTCTTTAGTAGCTTTACTTTATCTTATCCTTTATGATATAAGAGACTTTTACTTTACTTTGATTACTTTAATTCTTTTATATTTCTTTCACAAATTCCTTTATTTTTATTCCACAAATTTTATATTCAATATCATTTATATTATTTTCAATATTTTCTTTTATTTCCTTTTTTCTTTTTAATTATATCACTTTATTTTATTCTTTATATTTCAATTATATATTTTTTAAATTCAAC